CCTGGCACCCTCCGGGCATCCTGGCACCTTCCAGATATTCCCGGCACCCTGTGAGCATACCCGGCACCCTCTGGAGATTGAAGGACCCTCTGGGCACTCCCAGCACCCTCTGGGCATCCCCAGTACCTTCTGGGCATCCCCAGTACTCTCTGATTACCCAGCAACCTGTGAGCATCCCTGGCATCCTGTGGATATCCTGGAAGTACTCTCCAGGCACTCAGCACCATGTGGGCATCCTGGCACCCTCCAAACATTCCTGGTACTCTGCTGGCATCCCCAGCACCCTCTGGGTACCCAGCACCTTGCGGGCATGCCGGCACCCTGCACAAAATCCCAGCACCCTGTGAGCATCCCTGGTCTCCTGTGGATATCCAGGCACCCTCCAGGCATCACCAACACCCCCTGGGCACCCTGCAGACATCCCCAGTGGGCATCCCAGCACTTGACAGTCATTCCAGTATGCCCTGTGGCACCCCAGCTCCCAGCAGACATCCCCAACACCCTGAAAGCATCCCCAGTACCTGGCAAGCACCTTGGCACTCTGTGGGCATCCAGGAACCCTGCAGGCACCTTGGCACCCCGGTTGGCACCCCAGCAGCTGCCCCTTAACCCCTGCAAGGCCTGTGCAAAGATGCCCCCTGAGAGGTGCCCCCAGGTCCCAAGGAGGACTGCTTTTCACCAGTGTCTCCACAGGGAGATACTGGTGATCAAACTGCCGTAATGGGGAGGCTTGAGGTGTGTCACTTTGCAGAAGTCCTGGCTCTTCAGAGCTCCTGCTGAATCATAGAATCATAGAATGGTCTAGGTTGGAAGAGACCCTTGGGATCACTGAGTCCAACCATCTCCCCTACTCTACAAAGTCCTCCCCTACACCATGTCCCTTAGCACTGCATCTAAACGGCCCTTAAACACAGCCAGGGATGGTGACTCCCCCCCCTCCCTGGGCAGCCTGTTCCAATGCCCTATCACTCTTTCGGTGAAAAATTCTTTCCTAATGTTCAATCTAAACCTACCCTGTTGGAGCTTGAAGCCGTTCCCTCTCGTTCTGTCCCTAATTACCTGTGAGAAGAGACCAGCACCAACCTCTCTACAGTGTCCTTTCAAGTAGTTGTAGAGAGTGATGAGGTCTCCCCTCAGCCTCCTCTTCCTCATACTAAACAGTCCCAACTCCCTCAGCCGCTCCTCATACGATTTGTTTTCCAGCCCCCTCACCAGCTCCGTTGCCCTCCTCTGCACTCGCTCCAGCACCTCCAGATCTCTCTTGGATTGAGGTGCCCAAAACTGGACACAATACTCGAGGTGTGGCCTCCCCAGTGCTGAGTACAGGGGCATGATCACCTCCCTACTTCTGCTGGTCACACTATTTTTGATACAAGCCAGGATGCCATTGGCTTTCTTGGCCACCTGGGCACAGGCCGGCTCATATTCAGCCCTTTGTCAACTAGAACCCCCAGTCAATCTCATTCACCAAAATAATTAAAAATAATTCACGCTTGCAAAATGCTTCTTGGTTTTTGCCTTAGTATTTCGCAGGGTGGTCTGACTTGCTGAGGTCCCTCCGTGGAGATGTGAACAGCCTGGGGTGACGGGAGATGCTCTTTTCAACACCCAGGGACTGTAACGTGCCCAAAGCACGTCGGGTGGTGTGACTGTCCAGGCCCCAGGGCTGTTGTGCCCTGAGAAAGCGATGAGTTCTCCTTCAGTGCCACCACGGAAGCACGTCAGAGCCCCAGCTGGGATCACAGCACAAAGCTCAACTCCCGCTAACGAGCAAACAGCCCTGACTCGTCCCCATTAAAATCCCCCCGCCGTGAGCCCGCCGGTTGGATAATGGGATTGTTTGCGTGGCTGTTTGTGGCTACCTGAAACCCCACCGCCGCTCTTCAGCGTGTAATTGCTCTGAAGAGGGACAGTTTCCACCTACACACACGCTTTTGCCCATTACCCGTATCTATATTTTATTAGCAGCTGTTATGATGTACATTAAGGAGATAATGAGAACCACCACCGTGCGGGATAAAGCCGTGCTTGGAAACCTTGAGAAGAACATGCCACCAGTTCCAACGGAGCCAGAGGGCACCCTCTCCCCATCCCAAAGGTCTGATTCTGCTCCCACAAAGGCCCAGTTCTCCCCAGCTTCAGCTGGAGGGAGGGAAGCCAGCATCTTGCCCTCAGTTCCAGGTGGGCTGGGGAGACGTGGTGCCCTCCCTGCCCCAGCACAGCAATGGTCGGAGGTTGAAGTCCTCATGCTGGTGGCATTCATGTGCTGGTGGCATTCACATGCTGCTTTTCCAGTCCCCCCACCTCCTCCACTTTCTGGAGCTCGTGGCCCACAGACTGCAGGTCTGTATTCCCAGAAGCACATCCCTGTAAAGAGCTGTACAACCACGTGGCACTCAATGGGTATCTAAACTGTCTTTCCCCAAGGGTATGGCTACTCTTTTCCCACCCAATGGTCCCTTTAAGCTCTATTCTGTTCCTTATCCCTGGGGCTGATGCCGAGAAATGCTCCAGGAGGGAAGCACATCAACACTGCCCCTCTGATTACAGTGATGCTGTAGCGAGTGATTAAATGCTGGCACGGAGGCCGGGCTGGCCCGGGGGAAGGCAGGAGCTGGGAGTGCTTCACCACCTGATTTGGAGGCAGGAAGGGAATAATTCATACTTCCCCATCACTTAGAGCATCCAGCTGCCCTCCTGCCCACACCTCCGGACAGCCAAGGATCCGGACAGAGCCGAAATTCCATCCAGCTCCCAGCACATCCCTCACCCACGCACCACCCCTCCACCCCAGCCCCTTCCCAGCCCCTTCCCAGGGATTTCGGGTCATTTGCAAGGTTGGAAAATCCCAGCAGACCTGAGGTGAGCATCCCCGCTCCCTTGAGGGGCAGGGAATTTTGGAGGTGAGCACAGGCAGCCCCGTATCCTGCTTGATTTTCCTAAAAGGAGAAACCTTGGAACGAGCAATGACAGCCAGGTGGATGATGCAACCCGGGCAGAGCAGCCCCACATTTTTGGGAGGGAGAGGGCAGGAGGGAAAAAACTGTTCTGCCTCTCCTGGGGTGTTATCCACACTAAAAGAAGGCAGGCTGAGGATTTGGGGCATTTTCCTGATATTCCAGCCAGCGCTGCACGGGTAGGGAGGTCTATGGAGCGAAGAGACAGGATGACTTTGGGTAAAGGACAGGCAGGAAAAGCTGGTTTGGATTCTTTTAGCCCTTCTTCTGCCAGAGCAGGGGGACCTGCTCAAGAAACCAATTTACTTCCAAAATCCCTGCAGATGGAGGGGAAAAAGCTGCAACATTAGAGTCACCGAAGCCAAAGCTTTGGCTCATTTACCAAATGAGGGCTTCTACCAGCCATAAAATCAAGGTCTGGCTTTGCTGGGGGCTGGAGGGCAACTCCCAGCACAGGGCAGTGCCCAGGGCCAGGGTGGCCATCTGGGCAGGGCTGGGGGGGGCAGGTGGTCCCCCCCCCCCCCCATGCACATACCCACATCTGGGTTGCAGCGTCGAGGCTTTTTTATAGCAGAAGCACACACACTTCTGGGTGAGACCCATCGGCCGCTCCAGCTGGGGGACAACTCTGCCCCCCCATGACTGGGGGGACCTGGGGGTGATGCAGCGCAGCCCCCCACGGCCAGGGATTCGGGGATGATGCAGTAAAGCCCCCCCGTTACAGAGGACACTGGGGATGATGCAACACAGCCCCCCATGACCAGGGATCCAAGGGCAACGCAGTAAAGCCCCCCCGTTACAGAGGACACTGGGGATGATGCAGCGCAGCCCCCATGTCCGGGGACCCAGGGACAATGCAGTGAAGCCCCCCCCATGACTGGGGTCCTTGGGGACAATGCAGCACAGCCCCCCCATGACCAGTGATAATGCAGCTTAGGGGATGATGCAGCGCAGCCCTCCATGACAAGGGACTCGGGGATGATGCAGTGCAGCCCCCCATTACTGGGGGACACTGGGGATGACACAGTGCAGCCCTCCATGACCAGGGGCCCAAGGATGATGCAGTAAAGCCCCCCATATCTGGTGTCCCTGGGGATGATGTGGCTCAGCCCCCCATTACTGGGGACACCATGGATGACACAGCACAGCCCTCCATGACTGGGGACCCAGGGACGATGCAGTAAAGAACCCCCCATGACTGAGGACACTGGAGATGATACAACACAGCACAGCCCTCCATGACTGGGGACCCAGGGACGATGCAGTAAAGAACCCCCCATGACTGGGGACACTGGAAATGATACAATGCAGCCCCGCACAACTGGGGACAGCGGGGATGGCGTGGCGCAGCCCCCCATGACCAGGGACCCAGGGATGGTGCAGCTCATCCCCCCATAACTGGGGTCCCCGGGGACGATGCAGCGCAGCCCCCCATGACTGGGGACACCAGGGATGATACAAGGCAGCCCCCCATGACCGGCGACCCGGGGATGGTGCAGCTCAGCCCCCCATATCTGGGGTCCCCGGGGACGATGCAGTGAAGCCACCCCATAACTGGGTCCCTGCGGACGATGCAGTGAAGCCCCCCCCCATATCTGGGGTCCCCGGGGATGACGTGGAACAGCCCCCCATGACCAGGGACCCGGGGCTGACACAGCTCATCCCCCCAATAACTGGGGTCCCCGGGGACGATGCAGTGAAGCCCCCCCATATCTAGAGTCCCCAGGGACGGTGCAGCGCAGCCCCCCATGACTGGGGTCCCTGCGGATGATGCAGTGAAGCCCCCCCCCCATATCTGGGGTCCCCGGGGGCGACGCGGTGCAGCCCCCCATGACCAGGGATCTGGGGATGACACAGCTCATCCCCCCATATCTAGGGTCCCCGGGGACGACGCGGAGCAGCCCCCCATGACCGGGGACGTGTCGGGTCGCTACCGGGGCTCGGTGCGCTTCGGCCTGGTGCGCCTCATCCACGGCGAGGACTCGGACTCGGACTCGGAGGAGGGCGGCGGCGGCGGCGGACGCGGGACCGGCGGTGGTGGAGGTGGTGGTGGCGGTGGCGGCGGTGCCGTCAGCTCGGGAGGCTCGGAGTCGGGAGGCCCCGGGGCCGGCGGGGCGGAGGAGGGCCGCGCCAGCCCGCTGCGGCGGGGCTACGTGCGGGTGCAGTGGTACCCGGAGGGCATCAAGCAGCACGTCAAGGAGACCAAGGTAACCGGGGCGGCCCCGGCCTCCGACGCTTCCCTCGGGGCCTGGCTCGACCTCTTCGTCCCTCTCTCTCTCTGTGTGTCCCCCCCGCCCCGGGGTGGGGGGTCTGGCTCTGGATTCAAGGCCTTGGAGGCCTCCCGGGGCAGGGGCCTGCGCGGCCCCGCTGGCTCCCTCCCCTGCGGGCCGTGGTGTTTGCCTGCTCCACCCAAAAAAGAGGGGGTTTTGCCCCTTTTTCCCCTGTCACCCCCACCCCGTCCTTGCCCTGTGCAGCAGCCTGAGCGTGGGGAAGGCGGAGGGTGTCCTCCAGGGATTGAAATCCCGTTCTCTCCCTCCCTCCCGCTCCTTCTGGATGCTGCTGGTGGCAGAGATGGCTGTTTCTCTGGGATTTAATGGCCCAAGGCGAGGCCTTGCCTGGGAAGGTGATCTAAGCCAGCTTCCCGACCCCTCTCCCGTGCTGGGGATGTGGGCCAGCATCTCTGCCTGTAGTGGATGGTGTCGTCATCGCCTGTTTTAGGGGAGTCAGCAGCCCAGCAGGGAAACCTTGACTCGATTTCAGGAGGCGTGTAACCGTGGTTTGGATCTGCCCTCGTTCACCCGAGCGTTCAGCCCCGCCGCTGACGAGGCATACGTAAAACCTGTCACCTCTTCATTATAGCCCAAGAGCCACAGGGCGCAGGTCTTGGGTGAGGAGGATGTTCCCACTTCCCGAAGTTCGGCTGGCCGTGGGGGTTTGGCGGGGACGGAGTGACAGTAGGGAGACAAAAGCGAGCGAGGGGGCACTGTAATATAGCACAAAGGGGCCTGCGAGGGAGGAATGGGCGTTGCACCGAACAAAACAGGCAGCTTGTGCTGTCCTTGCAGGTCCTGGGGCTCTGCTGGGGTGGCAGGAGAAAGCAGGGGGGCTTCTGGTACAGCACCTGCTTTGCCCTTTCAGAAACAGCCCCCGACCACCCGAGGGGAGATGGAGAGGAAGGAAGGTGTGTTGCAGTCCTGCAGGCATCGGGAGGATGGCAAGTGCTAACAGAATGAGCTAAATTTAGGTGGTAGTGTCATTTGCCACGTGACTGCTTGGAGATAAGGAAAATGAAAACAGGTATTCAGAAAAGATGCTGCTGCATGATGTGTTTCTACCTTAAAGGAAAAAAAAAGGCCTTCTTTCTCTAAAGAACCACAATTCAATCACTGCAGCCTGCCAACAAAATCTTAGTGTGGTGTTGCAGCAAGAATTTGTCCCAGGTTCAGTGTGGCTTTCAGCATCTAAACAAAGCCGCCTCGATTTGGGTGAGTAAACACAGATTTAGGAGTTGTTATTGGGGTTCCCAAATCCAGAGGTGTTAGCTCTGATTTTAGTCGCTTGGTAACTGTACCCTTTGCAGTGTTAGAAAAAGCTAGACTGGGGAGGACCAGAAATCAAAGACAGTTATGTAAATAAACGCTCTGTCTGTCTTTCCTTTCTGTTGTCCTTCTTCTCTGATGTAGGCGGCTTTACCACTCGGGTGGTAATAGACCCTGGGGAGAAGTTTCCTAAGTGCTTGAGGAATTTAGGTGTACTTATCATATTGATTTTTCCATTTGAAAAGCTGCCCGCTAACAAAATTGAGAGGCGTTGTGTACGGTCTGCGCTGCAGCTCAGGGTTGCTAAAAACAAATCTGACGCCACTGGAAGCATATTGTGGGACTTACCATTTTGGAGTTATAATCAGGTTTGGGGTTTTGGTTTTTTTTTTGCTGTCTGCTGACCCAGCCCTTTTTGGGTTACACCAATGTGTGAGAACCAGCCAGGTGAGCCTGACCTGCTTGTCATTGTCCACGCTGGGAGGGGTACAAACCACCAGAACTATGGGGTTGTCCTGGGCCTGAAGTTTGTTGGGTTTTGGGTGCTTGTTGCCTGCTGTTATCTGCAGATAACATCTTTTGGCGGTGACTCTGACTCTCCAGCATCTTTGGCTGTGAGATTCTTGTTTGATGTCCTTAAAAATGTTAACCTGTTCTGGTCGCAGCCAAACCATGGATTGAAGAGGGTGCTTGTTGCACCCTTTTATTACTTTTTATTTCCCTGAGCTCTTAATTTTGCAATGGGCAGAGGGTAAAGGTGCTCCTGGAGCCAGACCTTTCACCAGCCCCATCTTTGCCTGTTCTGTAGGTTCAATCCTATTTCTGTGTAGAAGGCTGGGTGCCTGTCTGTCCCCTGTTTGTCACGCACTTTAAGATCTGTAAACACTGCTGCATATATTGCATAAAGTGAGCGTTCTAACCAGGGAAGGGGAGAAATAAAGTTATTGCAAATTTTGAGGATAGTGAAACATCACCTTTGGCTCCTGGTGCAAAGGTCAAAATCAGTTTTCTGCACCCAATCATAATCCTAGAGCTTTCCTGTCTTATCTTTAAACAATGAGGGGGTTAAAATATTTTTATTTTTATTTTTTTTTTCAGCTAGGGAATAGGTAGGATAATCACTTCCACTGTTGCTGCTAGAAGTTCAATGCTTGCTGTTGCTCTTTCCTGTTGGAAGTGGTAGGCAGGCTGCCACCCAAGCACACAATTACTGATGTTAATAAGTAATAGAAACTTTCTCTTGAAATAGAGCTAGCATTTGGTACAGAGCCCCACTAGCTCCTCCAACCGAATAAATGGTTTATCTGAGTGCATTCCTGCCTTTGATTCCCACCTTGATAGTCATTAGCGATATCATGGCAATGATGGAAATGAAAGAAGAGCCAGGATTTCCAACCCTCTGGCTCATTGTGCTCCTTTCTTGCCTTCCATCATCTCTGCCTGTAGTGGACGGTGTCGTCATCGCCTGTTTTAGGGGAGTCAGCAGCCCAGCAGGGAAACCTTGACTCGATTTCAGGAGGCGTGTAACCGTGGTTTGGATCTGCCCTCGTTCACCCGAGCGTTCAGCCCCGCCGCTGACGAGGCATACGTAAAACCTGTCACCTCTTCATTATAACCCGAGAGCCACAGGGCGCAGGTCTTGGGTGAGGAGGATGTTCCCACTTCCCGAAGTTCGGCTGGCCGTGGGGGTTTGGCGGGGACGGAGTGACAGTAGGGAGACAAAAGCGAGCGAGGGGGCACTGTAATATAGCACAAAGGGGCCTGCGAGGGAGGAATGGGCGTTGCACCGAACAAAACAGGCAGCTTGTGCTGTCCTTGCAGGTCCTGGGGCTCTGCTGGGGTGGCAGGAGAAAGCAGGGGGGCTTCTGGTACAGCACCTGCTTTGCCCTTTCAGAAACAGCCCCCGACCACCCGAGGGGAGATGGAGAGGAAGGAAGGTGTGTTGCAGTCCTGCAGGCATCGGGAGGATGGCAAGTGCTAACAGAATGAGCTAAATTTAGGTGGTAGTGTCATTTGCCACGTGACTGCTTGGAGATAAGGAAAATGAAAACAGGTATTCAGAAAAGATGCTGCTGCATGATGTGTTTCTACCTTAAAGGAAAAAAAAAGGCCTTCTTTCTCTAAAGAACCACAATTCAATCACTGCAGCCTGCCAACAAAATCTTAGTGTGGTGTTGCAGCAAGAATTTGTCCCAGGTTCAGTGTGGCTTTCAGCATCTAAACAAAGCCGCCTCGATTTGGGTGAGTAAACACAGATTTAGGAGTTGTTATTGGGGTTCCCAAATCCAGAGGTGTTAGCTCTGATTTTAGTCGCTTGGTAACTGTACCCTTTGCAGTGTTAGAAAAAGCTAGACTGGGGAGGACCAGAAATCAAAGACAGTTATGTAAATAAACGCTCTGTCTGTCTTTTCTTTCTGTTGTCCTTCTTCTCTGATGTAGGCGGCTTTACCACTCGGGTGGTAATAGACCCTGGGGAGAAGTTTCCTAAGTGCTTGAGGAATTTAGGTGTACTTATCATATTGATTTTTCCATTTGAAAAGCTGCCCGCTAACAAAATTGAGAGGCGTTGTGTACGGTCTGCACTGCAGCTCAGGGTTGCTAAAAACAAATCTGACGCCACTGGAAGCATATTGTGGGACTTACCATTTTGGAGTTATAATCAGGTTTGGGGTTTTGGTTTTTTTTTTGCTGTCTGCTGACCCAGCCCTTTTTGGGTTACACCAATGTGTGAGAACCAGCCAGGTGAGCCTGACCTGCTTGTCATTGTCCACGCTGGGAGGGGTACAAACCACCAGAACTATGGGGTTGTCCTGGGCCTGAAGTTTGTTGGGTTTTGGGTGCTTGTTGCCTGCTGTTATCTGCAGATAACATCTTTTGGCGGTGACTCTGACTCTCCAGCATCTTTGGCTGTGAGATTCTTGTTTGACGTCCTTAAAAATGCTAACCTGTTCTGGTCGCAGCCAAACCATGGATTGAAGAGGGTGCTTGTTGCACCCTTTTATTACTTTTTATTTCCCTGAGCTCTTCATTCTGTAATGGGCAGAGGGTAAAGGTCCTCCTGGAGCCAGACCTTTCACCAGCCCCATCTTTGCCTGTTCTGTAGGTTCAATGCCATTTCTGTGTAGAAGGCTGGGTGCCTGTCTGTCCCCTGTTTGTCAAGCACTTTAAGATCTGTAAACACTGGTGCATGTATTGGATAAAGCTAAAGTGAGCGTTCTAACCAGGGAAGGGGAGAAATAAAGTTATTGCAAATTTTGAGGATAGTGAAACATCACCTTTGGCTCCTGGTGCAAAGGTCAAAATCAGTTTTCTGCACCCAATCATAATCCTAGAGCTTTCCTGTCTTATCTTTAAACAATGAGGGGGTTAAAATATGTATATTTTTTTTTCAGCTAGGGAATAGGTAGGATAATCACTTCCACTGTTGCTGCTAGAAGTTCAATGCTTGCTGTTGCTCTTTCCTGTTGGAAGTGGTAGGCAGGCTGCCACCCAAGCACACAATTACTGATGTTAATAAGTAATAGAAACTTTCTCTTGAAATAGAGCTAGCATTTGGTACAGAGCCCCACTAGCTCCTCCAACCGAATAAATGGTTTATCTGAGTGCATTCCTGCCTTTGATTCCCACCTTGATAGTCATTAGCGATATCATGGCAATGATGGAAATGA